ATATCGATACTTATGTGAGAATTGAGTTTCCATTCCCTAATGTAAGTGAAAGACATGACACCATTTGTTGTCAAACTCTTGTCACAAGCATTTGTGATCTGAAACAGGATAACAGCCCATCCGCGCGGACAAAGACTGTCAAAAACAGTGTGAATCCAGGTTTGCATCTCTATTGCTATACTCACTCTAACTGTAAGTATTGTGCACTTCATAATGAAATGTATTTGTTTTGTTGATAAGTATTCAACGAGACGTTTAAATTCGAGATCGACCGCAAGTCGCGACAATTGCCCCGAACCTTCAAAAGGCATCCCTTGAAACTGGAACTCATGTCCAAAGGGTATGACATTTACTATGATAACTGAATGAAGTGTTAATTGTTTGCCCCATTGAAGTGGATTCCTAAGGAGCGATGCACTGATAGGGACGGCTCTCATCAAGTTAACTGATTTTGAGACCAAATGTACAATTCATGAGAGCTTTGCGTTGACTGAAGGCAGGAAAGCAGTGGGCGGACGGATAGAGGCTAAGGTCCGCATCAGAGAACCATTGCTCGCAAAACAAGTGGAAGAAGTGAAAGAGAAATGGCTTGTATTCGTCTGATCAGTGATTATTTATTTATGTTTTTATACGAAACATGTTTTTATTTCTAAAATTGACATCAAATTAAATTATTCATTCAATAACGAATCGCCCGTTTAGTCTTACGGTATTGTACTGTATATACCGGTATTATAATATAATTGAAAATGAAATGAAAATGTATTTATGTGTTCATCAAATTACTTTTTATACAATTCGTAACACTTTTGTGAAATACATAGAAAGTTATAGTTTTAAACTCACAATAAGTTCAAAATACCTTTAATTAACAAAAATTTAGTCTTAAATACAATATTATAGTGTTTTGTACGAAACAAATGTGAATCAAATGAATAAGTAATATAATAATGAGACACCAAATGGTGTCTTAAATGGCATTAAATTAAAACTAAAAGCAATTAATTGATTAAAATACAGAAATGATGCGAAAATTCGCTAAAACTACTAAAAGTATAGACATCTGCGACGAGACCAAGACATAGGACTCGGCGATGGACTGACTGTGCGTTTGTATCACTGAGTGGTCGGCTCTTGAAAACTTACAGTCATATGAATCGCTAAATTATAAGGTATGGTATGGTATGGAAAGGGATGTCCTGTGAATGGGATGTGAGATATGATTGGTTCGTCTAGTGGAGACATAATTACTGCGATTATTACGGCTCCTGAGTGTCAATACCATGTCATACACTACACTACCCCTACATTTGTGTAGTATATCGTGTGCTAAGCATTGCGTTCGCTGTAAATGTTGACCAATGAAGTGATAACAGGTGTATGTTTGGAGACAACCCCTAAACCCTCACTCTATTGCCTCTTTGGGCGCAATATTTCCCGCGTTTTGAGCTCTCATTGAAAGACAAGTCAATTGTCTGCGAGTTTGCAGTGAAAGCACATCCAGTCCTCCACTTCAGTCGTCCAGTCTTTGTCAACATATCCAACACATCCATAGCCAACATGTTTGAGGCGCGACTCATTCAGGGAAGTATTCTCAAGAAGATATTGGACGCCATCAAAGACCTGGTGACCGACGCCTCCTGGGATTGCAGTCCGAACGGCATGTCTTTGCAGGCGATGGACACGAGTCACGTCTCACTCGTCTCCGTCTCTCTCAATAGCGACGGTTTCGACAAATATCGGTGCGATCGCAACCTCACGCTCGGCATGAATCTCATCAGGTATATACTGGCCCCATATCACCACCACTTGATCCCATTGTCGCTGCTGTGTGTTTGACGCCATTGTCTCCCTCTCGACAGCCTCTCGAAGATAATCAAATGCGCGGCCAATGACGACACAATTATCATCAAAGCGGGCGATGGCGGCGACAAAATCACGCTTCTCTTCGAGGCTCAGAGTAAGTGATGACTAGTTTTGCGCCACTTTTGCCACAAACGTATGACCTCTTTGTCTCCCGTTTGTGCGCCACATCCAGACGAGTCAGAAGTGGCTGAATATGAGATCAAACTCATGAATCTGGACTCAGAATACTTGGGAATTCCAGTGAGTAGTGACTGCTTCGGGATGTGTGTGAGTGACGGGTGTATTGACTCCTGTGTGTGATTGTCTCGTTCAGGACACCACGTATAACGTGACCATCAAAATGCCGTCCAATAAGTTTCAGCGCATTTGTCGCGATTTGTCGCAAATCGGAGACGCGGTGACCATCTCTTGCGCTAAGGATGGCGTCCGGTTCGGCGCCGCCGGAGACCTCGGCTCGGGATCCATACGTTTGGCACAAACGGCCACTTCGGACAAACCCGAGGACTCGGTGACCATCTCTATGCAGGAGGCGTTGTGTCAGTCATTTGCTCTCAAATATCTCAATCACTTCGCGAAAGCCACTCCTCTGTCAGCGCAGGTGACGCTCTCCATGTCGCCGGACGTGCCCTTAGGTGAGCCCTTACTGTTCAATGTCTGTGGTTTGTGTAGTAATTGTGTGATTCGTGTGACCAGTGGTTGAGTACAACATATCGGACAACGACGACGAGAACCCGTCGACCATTGGTTTCATTCGCTACTATTTGGCGCCGAAGATCGACGACACCGACGAGTCCTAAGTCAGTGGCTCTTAGTCTCAATTCTGTGGTAAATGTGACACCAAATGAAACGATTGTCTCTTTTTATATTAAATCAATTTTCTCGTAATAAAAGATTTGGTTTTTTTAATTACAAACTCTTGTCTCTGTGTTTAAACTTTTCATTTATTAGACTTTTAAATTAAAAACTTAATTACAGTTTAGAGTCAATCAGAGTTACAATTATTCTTTTCCATTAACAACAGATAACATGATAACAAATAATGATTTGATTGTTTTAAATTACTGTATTCCTACTATAATATCTAATTCATTTTGTAACATTCATTTAATTCAAACATTGATTAATACAGTGGATTAAAAATGCTTAAATTAATTTTGAAAATGCAATCAATAAAACAGTATTTTGATTAAAACTACTGTGTTTTAAGATTAATAATTAATTTAACAATTACTGCATTGGATATTCAGTACCATATGGTATGCACAGAATAAGTGAATGTATTGTTTGACAAAAAGCAAACATTTTTGGGAACAATTAGTTGAACGCATATATAAATTGTATGATTTGTTTGGAGACATGAATGCAAATCAAATGCAACTCTAAACTAATAATACATTGCATTAGAATTGTTTCGTGAGAAGAGATCAATTATTAGATTAACTTATATTTTGATTGAATAAGTATTTTTGGAATTGAAATATTGGTTAGAAAATAATATAACATAAGCTCTGAAAACAATATCGACAAAACAGACGATTAAAATTACGGTCATATTTAACGCAAACGTTGTCATTAGTATATTAATTATTAATTATATGCCGGTTTAGAAAACCACAAATCATTTCAGTTGTATTTATTGTTATTGTTATTCCGAAATGTAATGAAAATCTACGATAACTATATTGTATAAGCAATTATTTTAGTTACTTTAAGAATGATTATTAATTTAAGAATATATTAAATACGATTTAAATTCCTAAAATGCAAAAGCATTTGATTTCAGAGTTTTTATTAACACAGGCTATAAGACTAGTTAATGCAATAAACGTGTGATTAAGACAGTCATCGGTTGATGGCAACTACGGACTCAAATAAACAGTGAATCCGAGTCTTTGTGTTTAAAACAAATATAATTTGTGTCGACTTTCGAAACCACAAAACTTAGTATAACTTTCGAAAACAAATGAAATAAAATTTAAATAATGATAAAAAAAATGTCTTAAAATGGAAATAAAAATTCTTCCAAATAATATGTGAAAAAATAATTATAAAATAAACGGTTTTTTGTTCATTCATTCATTCAATCGATTGCTGGATCTCTCAGAACGAGTTCAACACATTTGTGGAGTTCAAGTGATCGCTTAAGAGTTGGTGTAATTTGAACTGATCCTCAGTGCGAAGCCTTAGGATTAACTGAAAAAGTTTGGACGCATTGGGCGCTCGTATGAAACTGGAAATGTATACGTTTACGAATGTGGCCATCAGGTACTGGCAGTCAAACCGGTCCACAATGCCTCCGTGGCCTGGGATGATGTCGCCGAAGTCCTTGATCTTAAAGGCTCTCTTGAATCCGCTCGCGAAGAATCCGCCGAACGGACCGATTATGGAACTGAAGAGCGAGAGCGACAGCGAATGCAATACAAACGGACACATCGTTACCGTCATCGGGATGTTCAGCTGTCCATCAAATCAAATGGTATTAATAAATTGGTTCATATGTATGAATAGATACGAAATACCGGCAATAGTTTGTTGACATACGCCAACTCCACGGGGAAGTGGTATTCCGTCGGATGAAAGAGCGGTGAGGGCTCGCAGTCCATTGTCGTGCGCTCCAAGTCCTCTGAGTATTCAATCGGACAAACGAAGTATTTGTATTGACATAAAACGGCCGAAAACTATAAACAATTCAATATTAATAGGTATGAAATGAGTACAGAATCACAGCAAACGTACAATCATTCCGAGAATAACAGTGAGAATGCCGCCGCCTATAAAGCCCTCCCATGTCTTCTTTGGCGAGAGTTTGATGAGTGGAGTCTTCCCGAAGAAGAAGCCGAACAGATATGCCATCACATCGTTGCACACAATCATCGACACGGGAACGATGAACCAAATGAGGCCCTCAAACATGTTCTGCAGAATCAGATACGACTGCGTGACTACTATCAGGAGAGTGACGTGAGTCCACGCAAACTGTCCGCAAATGTAACACATGTTTATTAGAATCGCATTTAGGTTCAGGGTAACTATTCTGCATACCAGTGAGAATTGTCTCATATAGTAGTTTTTGGTTAGACTCAACACAAACCAAACGAATCCAATGACATACAGACAAAACGATATAAACCGATGGTATGTCACCAATGGTCGCATGAAATTCTGTCAAAACAACCACACGTTTAGTTTGATTGGTTTCAGAGTCTGAAATTCAGACATCAAGTGAAGTGTGTGCGTGAAAGTGAGTGTGAAAACTACACAATTAACTAATTTTATCTATTATTTTCTATATACCGTAAATGTCAACTATATTATAACATTGCATTAAAACTATTTCACCGTAATTCCTGATTCTGTATTAATTTTAAACAAATTGTTGCAAGTATTTTGACAGCTTTTCTAACTGTACTAATGTTTGTTTTTACCGCAAGTTTTATAGAGTAATGTTATTAAATATAAATTATTAATTATATTATAAAAAGTGTACGGTCAAAATTAATAATTTAATACTTCAGTAGAAACTTATTACCGGTACTGTATCTAAAAAATATTGCACAACTTGATTGACTCATTTCAATAGTTGTACCGGTATGACACATTTGACACTGCTTATTTTTCTAAAAACTAGTTCTACAATGAATATACAAAATAATAACTATTACCTATTTAGCGAAATATTTTTTAACTTGTTTCAAATACTGTACTACAATATAACAGTAATAACAGTAAGTATTTACTTTAAAATGTGGTTATAATTGAATGTATAAAAACTCATTCAAATCTCATTCCTTGACTTTTGTATTTTTTTGCTATTTATTATGTTTCTGAATGGCAAGCCACGTCTTGCTCTGGCTTCATTAGCTGTTCTGAAAGCGGTATTTTCTTCATTAACCTTCGCTAATTGTATATGGTGCTGTCCCTAGACTTGGACGGAAGGTTATGCAGACGATACACACTGTAACCGATGGCTATTATCTCCTGAAAACACTTCACTTGAACGCCCAGAGTCTTCATCAAACAAATCAAATAATTGTTATAAAAATTTTAAATTAAGACTTTTTAGTGACAGTCAATACATACGGTAAACATGAGGGCCAATGGACCCAAATATATGATTAGACAGAATCCGCTGACCATAAGACATGTGAATACAGTCCGCACCACATAATTACGCCATCTTTACGGACAAGACATTCATATATCAATCAATTGAACGACAGTTAAGATTAACAGATGAGCGCATACCTGGCTGGGAGTGAGTCTAAGATGACATTAATCTGGTCCGTCGATTGGGGCACTTGTCTCATGACATCCCCGATGTTGGTCTCATCGATGAGTCGGTCGTCTTCCGAGTCGACGCCTTCGCTACTCATTCTCCTGAGCGGTGCTCGCGATGGTTGCGATGGACTATCTCTATGACCAGTCTGTGGACACAATCCCAAGACATCCATTCATTGCATACAAAACAATTCAATCGGAAAAACATATTAGTCTTTAAATAAAACTTTTATAGCATTTGTTTTGCAAGCATTCAATGCATAAATTAATTACAAAAATAACATTTCAATTAAATATTTATATTTTCATTATAAAAATCTATTGAATCACAAAACGAGAGACAATTTGTGGTGAAACTAAACTCATGTTTAAACTCATGTCTCAAACAAATTGTGTCCAAAAACCTAAACTCAATGAATGAATGCAAGGATTGATAAATACATGGATTTCATCGGCGATTCCGTGTCCGCGCTGTCTTAGACTCGGGTCCGACATCACATCAATCGGTGGTGTAATCGGTGTTTGTCTCCGCAAATGGTAACCAATAGTCAATACAACGATTCAAAGATCACAAACACAACTGGTTTTAAAACATTTCGTTAATTCACTCATTGATTGTGTGGTAAAATTAATGCAAAAGTGTTTTTCGTTTAAACTGTGGTTTCAATCAAATGACAGACAATTTGTTTTTGCATTCAATTGAATGTTTACTGAAAGGCGTGGCCTATCACTGCCTCCCACCACGTGATGCCATCTGTCACACCGTTATTGTCGCTAATTATGAGGAAAATGAGTTTGCATTCAATTTAGTGGTCATCTATAGATCCGATGCAAGTGTACAGAGATTTTCAAGTGTTCATATTTAATGGTATATTAGTCTCATATAAGTTTCATCAGGATTACTGTCGTATGCATGGCGTCGAACCGTAACTGAAGTGGTAGTTCAAACAGTAACTTATAAGTTTTGAACAATGTTCAAAAATTTTTATCAAAAAATTTATTTAAATAAAAACATATATTTAGTAATTTACTCCCTATTCACGTGTCTTAAATTATATGACATTCATTCAAAATATGCCTAAAAACAAGTGTTTTCAGCAACAAAAACTCAAATATTGACTTTTGATAAATGAAAGTCACTTTCTATTTCTATTAGAATACCCGTACAGATAAACTTGATTTATACAACTTTTTAAACGTGTTCAGTAAAACGTGCAATTGTTCAAATAAATTTATGTTACGCACACATAAATATTGGGAAAACGACCAGGATCTTATGGTCTTAAGATATCTGGCTGAGTATAGAACCGGTAATATAAGCATAATTAATATTACCTGTAAATTTTATTTAATTGAAAGTAGAGAATAGAAAGTACCGTAATACTGCAACATTCAATAGTAAATACAGTGCCTGTATATACTGTATATACGGTATATAAATGAATATGGTAACAAACTTTTAGAACTTTCTATCAGTTGAGTGACATTTAGGCACTAATTTTGTTTCACTTGTGATAACAGTTTGTTCACATCTTATTATCCCATTATAATCACACTTAAGATTAGATATAATCAGTCACTGAGAAAGATCTCAAATGCACCTCAAAGTCATATATAAATGTAATCTCAATGTCATAAAGTCCCACGTTTACCTGTTACGTAAACAGCTTAAGTTGTATTCTGAGTTAAACGATATTTTAAATAACTTACGTAATTTTAAGGTGTTTAATTTATAACTTTATGTTATTTTAATTACAAACTCCATTTTCTGAGTGATATTAGAGAATTGTAACTGAAATCAATGCTTATATATGAATACAGAATTAAAACACATATTGAAGTATAAAATATTGATAATTGATAATAAAAAATGTTTTATAAGAATTTACTTCCGATTTGATGCAAAACTGTAGAAATTATCAGAATTTGAATGGCTTTCCAACGACCGACGGTTTCATGTAATTCAGATCTTCAGAAAGGGTGCGCTTTTTGTGAACCAAATTCTGGATCTGATGATCAAAACTGAATGGTTTAAAAGTAGTCGGCTTTCGCTCGGACTTCGGCTGAGCCTTAAATGTCTTAAACTCTGGCATCGGGTGAGCCTTAAATGGGAGGGCTTTGGGCTGCTTTGCGGACTTGTCGTCAGTGGTCTTCACGGCTCGCATTTGATTGCGGACTTCGGTCTGAAAATGCATTTCAACCGCTTTTGTCGGCTCTTTGATGGACTTGACTCGTGGTATACCGGAAGCGAACTTCGCGTCGAATAACTTCTTGCGAATGGGATTCGCTTTAAACGAATACTTTTTGATTTCCGATGCGATTATGTCTTCGGTTGGACGCGGCGTACGGCGATGTCTGAGCATTGAGTGCAGTTTCGGTGACTTCGGGCGCGTCAGCGACGACGTGGATGAGGATCGCGAGCCCATACCAGTGCCTGCGGGGGCGACCGCCTTGCGCTCCGTCGAGTGGGACCTGTGATCACAACTGCGGGGTTTCGTCTCAAACTCTTTCAAGAGCTCAGCCATCGTTTTGTAAGTATTGGTCGCCTTCTTCTTAGCGGTCGAGTAAAGACGTGAAACCACTTCTGAAGTCCGCGGTCTCGACACCATTGAGCGCGAACTCAGAATCGATTTGTGAATCGGAGTTCCCTTTCGGTGTGAACTCAGTATTGATTTGCGGAGTGGAGTTCCCTTCCGTTTGCTGGACTTCGGCGGCGGGTTTCTGGCGGACTCGTCGGGACTGACAAGAGTGACCGACTTCTGTCGCGTCGGCGCCTTCTTCTCAATCACATACGACTCCCGTCCCGTTAGCGTCACATTAGGCGCCGCTTCCGTCAACTCCTTCTCATTGCTGTCGAAGACTTCGTTTTCTATCGCATCCTCACTGTTATGGTCATCGATTGGGTCATCGGTGGGGCTCTCGACGTGAACCTCGATTTGCACCTCATTTTGCACTTCGCTGTCCACCTCATTGTGGTCTTCGCTTTGGATCTCAACGTAGTCTTCGTATTGAGCGTCATCTTCAGCGTCAGGGGTGACCTCACTCTGGAGCTGTTGGGCCGGCAATTGGCACTCATAGGACTCATGGCTCACCACAACCGCTGTCTCAGTGGGAAGCGATTCCGCCAATTCATCCATTTTAAAGATGTCTTCGTCTTTAGGAGTCTTAGACTTCGTGTACCTCTTCTTAGATGAGATCCGGCTTTCCCTGAGAGGAGTGGCGCCGTTGTACTGAAGAGTACGCATAGGAGTGGACCGTAACTTATAGGAGATCCGCTTCTCGACGCTTAAGTACTTTTTGGTCGAATAGAAGAGCTCCTCGTCGTCCTCGAGGTTCTCCTTATTCTGCGGCGGCGTCTCGTATCTGAAGATCTCTTTATCTTTGTCTTCGACCAACGGTTCCTTAAATTCATTGATTAGTGTTTTGTTGTGTTGGCCGCCCATCTGTGGACTCATCTCGTGATCCAACTCAAAGAAGTGGTCCATTTGTTTCAACTGATCCATGGTCTCAACAGCTGTGAGATCGCAAAACTGGGGACACATGTACTCCCACTCTTTGGCGTCATCGGCGGTGTCAACGCAATCGCTGGACCTAATGGTCGATAAATAGACGTTTAGTGAATCAAATCAATGATTGAATTCAAGGATCAATTACATATCGACCGAGAAATGGATCAAATGATGTGATAATTAATGGTAATATCGAGTGATTGTGTTGTTTGTGAGGTTTAAACGCATAACTCATACAAACGTAAAGCGCTTTGAATTTCAAATCACTTCACAAACGGTTTCATTAGTGGCGATAGGGATGTGAACGGTCTCTACGAGTAGCCAATCGTCGCAGAGATCACTAAAACATTTAAAGTTTGCGTTTGTTTCGTACAAAACACACGTCTAATGGAGAGGGGGTGGGTTCACACGCTAACCATCATGTTAGTATCGATACCAAGGTGTTTCTAATGTGACCAAGAGTATATATTTGTGATTTATTGATTGCAAATAAATTATATTAAAATGTTTTTCGCGTTTAATGTGTGTTTGGTTTGGTGTAAGACTCATAAATGAGACAAACCCATGCCTTCAATGCACGCATTGGTGCTCAGGGCTCGCAAACCAGTGCCTCAACGCGTATGTAATGCCTGAATGAGTCGTACACTGCGTTCGCAATGCATTGAAGGCAAAGGAAAGGCAGCGGTCGGTGGCGGCGACCCCTACACACAACTCGCTGCCTATTGGCTGAGTGGCCGTCAATAGAGTGCTCGAGAGGGCAGAGAGTAGTGATAGCGCTGTGGAGAGTATGTCGTGAGTGAGTGTTGAGTACTGCAAAGCACTGGTTATGAGAGTCGAGAAAATGGCGAACAATCAGATGACTGGTAACGACAGTCCCCGCCGTACGAAACGCGCCCGACTCGACCCCCTCCACGCCTCCCACCCTAAGCTCAGTCCCGCGCACGACCTGTCGGGGGGCGAGGGGTCGCCCAAGGGGTCACTCGTCCACACAATGGGTATGAACTCGTGTTTCATTGCATTGTATTTACATTTGGTTTGACGTTTTGCTCGTGTGTTGCATGAGCTCTATGTATGCATTGATTGCCACGCATTTGACACTCAATGCAAACATTGCATTACATACCAGTGCTATACTGCCTGTGCTATAGTGCACAGCCATTTGCTACCATCCCATCCACCGGTAGGCTAAGAGTTGTCTCCCTTTTAGCCACAATTACCCCCTCTTTGCCCACTTGTGCACACATTTTGAGCGCATATTTGACGGCAATTAGCGGCCAATCGGTCCGATGCTGTGGTTTGTGTACCGCTTGTCGCCACTCCTGCGGCCAATCCGTACACCACTTGTCCACACATTTAGCAAAACAGTTCACTTGAGAACCACTTATTGTACGCATTCTTAGCCTTTGAGACCAATTCACTAATCAATGATTGTCTTCTGTATTGACACACAAACCGTTGCTTACAGTCTCGTCGTCAACGGATCCCGAGATCTTGAGTTGCAGTGACTCGGGCTTTGACTCCGGTTTCCAAGAGTTTGTGGCCAACAGTGACACCAAAGGGAGCGACAACTCAGACGACGGCCATAAATACCCGAATCTGGTGTTCAGAAGCGATGCAATTGAGGCGCCGGTAGAGACGGCGCGCGAAGACGCGGACGACTTGTCGGCGTTAGTCGCCGGCGAGTCGACGACCGGTGAGGGGAGCGGCGAGTGCGAGGACGTGGACGATGCGGCCAGCGATGTGTCGGACCTGTCGTGCGTGAGCTGTCTGTCGGACATGAGTGGCCAACAGTGGAAACCCATCTCCGGACCGGTCGCGTGGATCCACAAACAGATGTGCAGCGGAACTGATCCGCGGACTATACTGACGGAGATGGTCGCCGACAACACTCTAATTCCCGACAATTTAGACAATTTGACGCTTTGGAGGATTATAGTGAACATGTTGTCCGAACCGCCCCCGAGACCCAAACTCCAGTCCCTCAACACCATCGACGACTGCATACAACTCATCAACAAATGTAATCGCATTCTTGTGCTGACGGGCGCCGGGGTATGACTGCCATCACTGTTAGTGCCGTTGGCGCCAAATAACTGATGTATGTTTCGATGCACTCATAGGTGTCGGTCTCGTGCGGTATACCGGACTTCAGGTCTCGCGACGGCATATACGCGCGTCTGAGTAAAGACTTTCCCGATCTGCCCGACCCTCAGGCCATGTTTGACATCCACTACTTCCGCAAAGATCCGCGACCTTTCTTCAAGTTCGCGAAAGTAAGTCATCCATTGGATGGAAACCTTTGAATGAGAGACTGATTGTGTGTCTGCGCGCAGGAGATATATCCGGGACAGTTTGAGCCGTCGATAAGCCATCGGTTTATTCGGATTTTGGAGCAGAAAAACAAATTACTCCGGAATTACACCCAAAACATCGACACACTGGAGAGGGCGGCCGGCATCGAGCGAGTGATCACATGTCACGGCTCGTTCGCGACGGCCACCTGTACTCAGTGTCGGCTCAAAGTGGACGCCTCTTTCATCAAGAAAGACATATTCGAGCAAAAGATACCGAAGTGTCCGGATTGTGCCGAAGACGCCGACAATATGGCTGTCATTAAACCGGTATTTATGTCGCATTGAGGGCACAGGGAATCCCATATATTGACTGTTGTGTCCATTGGTTTGATAGGATATCGTGTTCTTCGGTGAGGGTCTGTCCGACGAGTTCCACAGCGCGATGTCTCACGACAAAGACGAGTGCGATCTCCTCATAGTGATGGGCTCTTCCCTCAAAGTACGTCCGGTGGCACTCATTCCGAGTTCAATACCCGAATCGGTTCCGCAAATCCTAATAAACAGAGAGCCTTTGAATCACTTGACATTTGATGTCGAATTGTTGGGCGATTGCGATGTCATTGTAAAGCAATTGTGTGACAGGTATTACCGCTGATGTCGCGCTCATCATAAGCACTGAGTATTAAATCATATTTTGGTGTCATTTCAATAGATTGGGCGCCGAATGGGTTGACTACTGTCAAGGGTTTGGCTCATCAGACAAGACGATTGAATCGACAAAATCTGATGACTTTAGTCTCGAAGTAAACAATAATTTGTCTCAAATTAGCTCTTCATTGCCTTTCGCTTTCAATACAACTGTCAATGAGTTGAGAGTTTCAGATCATAGCAGTTGTCATCAAAACGACAATAAACACAAGAGTGAAGACTTAAACCCAGACTCCACTCAATCCGAAACACCAAAACCCAGTGACGACCGAATTGTTTCCCAATTGACCGGTAATTTCGTTATTGATTGAATGCGTGAGTGACGAGTGAATTGATTGCAATTAATGTGTGTATTATCTGCCAAACAGATGACAAATACATATTTCTCCCTCCGAGTCGTTATATATTCAAAGGCGCCGAAGTGTTTGACAGCGATTTAAGTACACATAAGAGGAGTGGCGGCGAAGTGAGCGAAGACGACACATCCAATAGTTCTCTGTCGACCACTCCGTGCTCGTCGTCGTCGTCCTCCTCATCGTCATCATCGCTGTTCACATCGGACTCACTCTTATCTCCGGTTCACTCCAATAGTAATAACTTTACGGACGCGTCGGAAACGACAAAAGCCTGTTATTCTTCATACACGACATCATTATCTCCCAAATTCTCCATACCTTCTGAACACGAAATTTCTAAAACATAATGTTTTGGTAATTAGTATTTTTGGACATTTTTAGTGACTTTTTTGCTATTTATTATGTTTTCTGTGATTTGAAACAAAAACAAAACAAAAATGAATAATGTTTTCAATTATTATATAATATTATTGTTACAAAATGCTCACAATTTTTATCTGTAATTGATTTTATTGATCTCTTTTCCTATATATATTTAATGAGAGTTTTAGGTATTTCTAGATATAATTGAATTGTAGGACAATTATCGAGAGTTTAATTTGTTTTTAGTACTCCTCTTGTCTCTCATCCGAATCGGTGTTCTTAGGTCTGCCCGTTGTTTGCATTGAATGCCATTGAATGCACGCAACAACACCTTTCCTATACCTATGAGTTTACAAATATATTTCAATATAATATGTATATTGACTAATGTTTTATGAATCGAGTGAATCCATTAATTGAATGTTAATTAACATTAAATATTTTGTTCATTTTTAAGGACTAAGAATTCAATCATAACTTGTTGTATAAAACGATTCATTACATGATATCTCGCGTCTGAACCACAGATAATAGCAATACATTGAATACAACGCTTTTGTCTATAATTTACATTCAATTTATATAAACAGTACAAACATTATATATACCGTATATAATAATAATATAATTAATTATATAAACTATTTGTTGGTTTCATTACTTTATTAATGATAATTACAAAACAATTATTGATTGTAGTGTTCTTACGAGTTAGCAATGATTTAAACAAATTAACTAATTGTACATATATTTATTATAATTATTTTAATTAATTGAGAAATTTTTATTTGTTGTGAAAACATGTTTTTTCTGTTTATTTGTCTATTTATTCATCCGTTTTATGGTTAAGGTTTAGGTGAAGTTCTCATCTAATCTAACGAAAACACATGAAAAAACATTTTTTCGACTCTTTTTTGTTATTTAGGCGGATGTCCACCGAAACGGTCGGATGTCTTAGCTTTGATTATCTTCTGATCAAATTTAAAATATATATCAATTTGTTTCGATTTATTCGATAATAAAATTATTTACTTATTATTTATAGTTATGTTTGTCTCTTATTTGTATGAAATGCATTCAAAATACTCAGTTTGTAAACTTACTGATAAAGCAAAGTCTCACCACAAGCGATGACTTACTGATTGTCTCTTTACTGCACTTTGGATCTGTTGGACGTACTGGCATTGAAGTGGTCGATGTCATCTATGGTTGAAACACTCAATCAAACAATTTGTTCATTTCTAATGACTTATTTTGACAAATCATATCAATTTGAAAGGAATTCTATATTTATATATATAGTGCTGTTTAGAGGGCACTCTATATTCTATATCCAATTCTTGAAATTTTTGTCCCTATATTAGTACCCGCATTGAAAAGTTTTATTTCCAATGAACTCATAAATTATCAATAAAAGTTTGAATGATGTTTTCCATAAGTGGATTAATAAACTTATTTATTGACAATTTGTTAATCTATAAAATGTTAACTAACAAATTAAAACATTTGACACACAATTTAGATATTAGATAAACTCAATTTTGTAGATAACTTACATTTATATTATTCTTGAATCTCTCTATAATATGTTGCAACTAATGAATTGGTTTCATAAGAAATGGATTCAATTAAATGAATTACAGTCTAATGAAAAAAAATTGTAATTGGCTTGAATTTGGTTTAATTCAACTAATAAGTTACAAGTAATAAGATTTAATAAGTTACAAGAATAATTTACGTTATTTAGATATTTAGACGATGGAGTATTAATACATTTAAGAATAATTTAAGGTTTATATAACTTAAATCAAATAAATCACAATATAATTATTTGATAGTAATTAAAATTGCATTATTTTCTTTATAATAACAGTTTTTAGCACTTTTAAATATTCTATATAAATATTAATAAGTATTAAAGTTATTTAGTATAAAAATAACACTAATTTTGAACAAGAATTAGAATATTCTATAGATTTGGTGTCAAATGACAAGAGCAGGCAATTGGGAGCCGAAACACATCTAAATGAATGCCTTTGTCTGGAGTCCAGGCTAATAGTCGCTCATTACTATACT